TTTTACTTTTTAATATTTTATCCATTTATTTTTGTTGGTGATTTTGGAGCATAAATATATTATTTTTCTTGTCATGTTTAGACATATATTGTATTTAAGAAATCTTTGATTAATCAAAGAGGCACTTGGTGGGGTTAATTTTTTTTAGAATAGAAGGAGAATGTTCAAGTAGTTTGCAAATGATTGATAAAAATGTTGAGACTAAAATATAGAATGTGGTCGACGTAGATGAGCCTAAGGTTGAGATGATGTTTGAAAGTGAAAAAGAGTTGTTTAACTACTACACAAATTATGACAAGTGATTGGGATTCCCAGTTAAGATAAGATCATCAACAAAAAGAGATGATGGTGAGCTGAAATATTTGACGATTTGTTGTTCTCGATCAAGAAAGTCAGAGTGCAATTCCAACAATCTTTTCAAACTGTGTCCAAGCATTAGAACAGGTTGTAAGGCTAAGGTTCTAGCAATTTTATGTGCTAATAGAAAGTGGCGACTGAACACTGTCATGCTTGATCATAATCATGAGGTGAGTCTATGCAAAGCTCGATTCTTTCGTTGCAATCGAGTAATGAGACCAAATGTAAAAAGGAAGCATGAATTGAACGATAGGACAGGGATTAAAATAAATAAATTTTTTAATTCATTTGTGGTTGAAACAGAGGGGCATGAGAATATCTCTTTTTTAGAGAAAGATTGTAAAAACTACATTGACAAAATAAGGAGTTTACGGCTTGGGGAAGGAGATGTTTCTGCGATACAGAATTACTTTTTAAAGATGCAAGGTGAAAATGCAAACTTCTTTTATATAATGGATTTGGATGACGAGGGTCGGTTAAGGAATGTGTTTTGGGCTGATGCAAGAAGTAGGGTTACATATGAGGAATTTGATAATGTTTTTACGTTTGATATAACATATATGACAAATAAGTATGACATGCCTATTGCTCAATTCGTAGGTGTTAATCATCACAGGTAGTCAACTTTGTTTGGATGTGATTTGATCTCCAATGAAGATACAAAAACTTTTAGTTGGTTATTTCAATTATGGCTTGCATGTATATCTGGAAAAACTCCATTTTCCATAATAACTGACCAAGACAAGGCCATGAAGAAAGCAGTTGAGAATGTTTTCCCTAATGCTAGGCATCGGTAGTGCCTATGGCACATCATGAAGAAATTACCTGAAAAGTTGAGAGGTTATAAACAATATGATTCCATCAAATTTTTCTTGCAAAGAGCCGTTTATGATTCATTAAGTTGTACTGAATTNAAAAAAAAAAAAAGTTTATACACGCACGCACCCACGTGAGTAAATTCTAATATGGATACAGATATAGGACTAATAATTTGATCTGTTGACGTGTAGAGGATCACCAAATTATAAGCATCGAGGACAGTAAGGGTTCTCTTCGGATCACCAAATTATAATCATCGAGGACAATTAGGGTTATCTTTGATCACATTACACAATTAACTTCGTGTATCCATACATTCCAGCTGTTCTTCAAGGTTAATACTCTACGATAAGGCTACACATGCAACTCTAATAAAATTAACCAAATTATACTCAATAGCAAACAGGATTGATTTTATAACAGTGATGAAACCGGTGAGGTAAAAGCTGTATTAGTCGATACCTCAGCGAAGCAAGCGGCGAAAGCGCTACTGGCGAACGTTCCAGCCAAGGAAATGTCTGATTTAGGCTTGCCGTGATCTGCCATTGGAGAGAGAAAATGATGATCCAAGCTTCCAAGAGAAGGAAAATTAGGGCTTGAAACGGAGGAAGAAGACGATGATATATGAACTACTAATACTACTACAAAATTGAAGCTATATGATAATGGAGTAGATTGCTATAAAAAGAGAGATTAGAAAAAGATAAGATAAACAAGTTTTGGAATCTCGGGAAAAGCAAAAGAGAGAGAAGAAGGTTGAGCAATTGGGTCGTTGCTCTGTGTATGCTGTCCATCGCCACCTTCATTTATTCTTTCTTTGTGTTTTTTATCTTCAATTTTTGCGGCAATGTTTTTTCATGCAGGTGGAGATCACCCGCGGTAGGTTTTCGTTGAAATTGGATGCAATTGGAGAGTTGTCCAATCATTTAGTACCACGTGTAGTGCCTTGGTTTGGGTCATATTGGTGTAGCGGTGGATTACCTGGGATATCATTTACCAATAATAATAATATGTCTGCATGTGTAGTCAACCCGACTATTTTAATAATTTTCCAAAAAAACACTATAACTAGTAGTTAACGTCTGGTTTTTTTTATCTTTCGATCAAATAATAAAATTGGGTGAGATGATTCTCACCCTTTTAATTTTTTTTTTCATTTCATTTAATTATTTTATTTTAAACTATTAAGTTTAATCCATTTGTATTTACTCTCTTAATCGTCATATGTCAAACACATTAGCATACATGTGTGAAAATATTATAAAATATATAATACAAAATAATCGTATTAGGGAAATGGTACGAGTAATTCCAGGGGTGGCTGAATAATATTTGAGGCCTAAAGTGATGACAGTCAATGATATTTTTATATTTTTTTAATCATAATTTAATTTTTTAATTTAAAATCTATTATTTTTATTTTTTTGATGAGATTTGAAATTGTAATTTTTTTATATTTAATTTTTGCTAATATATTTTTTTAATTAAAAATATGAATTTTGATCATAAATATTTATAGGAATAAATTTAATTAATTTATTAATATTTTTATATTCTTTTTATTTGTTTTATATGTTCTTTATCGAAACTGTGGAATTAAATGATTGAATTTATTATAAATAAATTCATTGTTATTTTTTATTTGGATTATTTTACTATCTTTGAATTTTATTTATTTATTCATGCAACTTTCACCTAAATTTTTATTATATTTTATTTGTTACGAATAAAAACTTATCAAAACATTTTTTTAAAATGAGAATGAATGATTTAATTGGTGTTTTGAGTTCAAATGAGGAAAAAAAAAAGAAGACAAGTTTAAGAAAAAGAAGACAAGTTTAAGAAAAATAAAAAATGTGTTTAGTTTGATTTTTTTTTTTGATTAAAGAGATATGTTTATGACATTTCTTTTAATTGAAGAAATAAATAGATTTTGTCAGCAATTTTTTTATTAATCTTTTTCGTCTTTTAATAAATATGATTGTGCGAAGATGTCTAAACTTTTGGGTCCAAATTTTTAATTTTTTTATTGGTTTACTCTCTCAACAATTAATTTTTTAGGCAATATTGTAATAAATTTTATTTTTTAACTTACATTATATTATTAATCTTTAAATTTGGGTCTTTTTTCGTATGCGGGGCCTAAAGCCTCCGCTTTTATTTTTGTACTATAGGGTTGGCCCTGAGTAATTCTAATTGAAGATAAGTTGATAGAGAGTAGATTAAGAAAATTTAGTCATATTCAACAGAGACCGATAGAGACACTAATTAAAAAAAGTGATGGAATTTTTCTTAATAGTATTAGAAGTAGTGGTAGACCTAAATTAATATTAAGTAAAATAATAAAAAATTTTATGAAAATATTGAACTTAAATGAGCATATAATACATAATCGAAATGAAGGACAAAGACGAACTCATATAACCGATATTAAATGATTCATGCAAAAAATAAAAAAAAAATTAATTAAGAAGAGAGGGATAACATTAACTGACACTTTGCCAAGAAAAGGAAAAACAAATTAGGGAGATGTGACAAGTTGAAAATGTATCAAAATAATCAAATGGACATACGCTTGGATAGACAATCCCTCCCTTTCCTTGTTGGATTATAGTCATCCTGATAATACTTATGACTTGACAAACAAAGGGACACCACATTCTTGGTGACGTGGTCTTCTCATAGCTAATTGGGGGGTGCAACATAAGAAAGGAGCACCACGTTCTAGAGGATCACTTATCAATGTAACAAAATTGGATGTACACNGACAAACAAAGGGACACCACATTCTTGGTGACGTGGTCTTCTCATAGCTAATTGGGGGGTGCAACATAAGAAAGGAGCACCACGTTCTAGAGGATCACTTATCAATGTAACAAAAGTGGATGTACACACGATTCGCTTATTCAGTGCAAGTGGGCCCATCAGTCCATGTTTAGTGTTGGTGGCATGCAGGTTCCCAAGTGGCCAATCGGATGCGCAAAAGACTACGCTACTGTTGTTGTACGAAAAGTAATGTCTACTTAAAATAAAATATAGATGACGTGGTTATTGATGTGTATCGGTTATATCATTAATTTTTTTCTTTAAAAAAAGAAAAAATCAAATTTTAATGAAATATAAAAGATCTGATTAATGTTCCCACTCAACCCTTCCGTTTTTCCTCTTCCCTCTTCTCTCACCTTCTCCCTTCCCTGTCACTATACCCAACACAGCCGGCCATCTCCCTTCCCTGTCACTAAATCGAACACAGCCGGCCATTCTCCAAGCCCAACAGCCTTCTTGACAACGCCTCGGAGGCCAACAAGTACAAATTTCGTTCTGTTATTCCTGGTGACAACCACCTTGGTGTGGCGAGGTAGAACAGATATCTTCTTCACTACAATTTGCACAGCTCTATAAATGTGAAAAGCCACCATTTATGGAACTCTCTATTGGTTCAAGCATTTTTATTCGAAGCCGAAGCTCTAACGGTTTTGTGAGTGTTTATTTTTTTTGATTCATTCAATTTGGTTGAAATGATTTATAGTCTATGTGCAATGGAGAAAGTTTGAGCCTTTTATTTTAATTGATCTTGATTTTATTCATCTGGACTTTTTGAAATACCATAGGGGTGAAACAATCGAATGACTTGGTTTCCTTTGAAAATCATTTAAAGAGTTGATTTTCTCGTAAGTTTATTACATCTTTTTACTTTTTTAATATTCTACCCATTTATTTTGTTAGTGATTTTGGAACATAAACATATTATTTTTTTTGTGATGTTCAGGCATATATTGTGTTTAAGAAATCTGTGATTAATCAAAGAGGTACTTGGTGGGGTTAATTTTTTTTAGAATGGAAGGAGAATGTTCAATTAGTTTGTAAATTATTGATAAAAATGTTGAGACTAAAATACAGAATGCGGTCAACGTAGATGAGCCTAAGGTTAAGATGATGTTTGAAAGTGAAAAAGAGTTGTTTGACTACTACACAATTATGGCAAGCGATTGGGGTTCCCAATTAAGATAAGATCATCAGTAAAAAGAGATAATAGTGAGTTGAAATATTTGACGATTTGTTGTTCTCGATCAGGAAAGTCAGAGTGCAATTCCAAAAATCCTTTCAAACCACGTCCAAGCATCAAAACAGGTTGTAAGGTTAAGATCTTAGCAATTTTATGTGCTGATAGAAAGTGGCGACTGAACAATGTCATACTTGATCATAACCATGNTTAGCAATTTTTTGTGCTGATAGAAAGTGACGACTGAACAATGTCATACTTGATCATAACCATGAGATGAGTCCAAACAAAACTCGATTCTTTTGTTGCAATCGACTGATGAGACCAAATGTAAAAAGAAAGCTTGAATTGAACGATAGAAAATTTTAATTCATTTGTGATTGAAGTAGAGGGCATGAGAATATCTCTTTTTTAGAGAAGGATTGTAGAAACTACATTGACAAAATAAGGCGTTTACGACTTGGGGAAGGAGATGTTTCTGTGATACATAATTACTTCTTAAAGATGCAAGGTGAAAATGCAAACTTCTTTTATACAATGGATTTGGATAATGAGGATCGGTTAAGGAATGTGTTTTTGGCTGATGCAAGGAGTGGGGCTGCATATGGGAAATTTGGTGATGTTATCACGTTTGATACAACATATTTGACAAATAAATATGACATGTCATTTGCTCCATTCGTAGATGTTAATCATCATGGGCAGTCAACTTTGCTTGGATGTGGTTTGATCTCCAGTAAAGATACAAAAACCTTTTGTTGGTTATTTCAATCTTGGCTTGCATGTATGTCTGGGAAACTCCACGTTCCATAATAATTGATGAGAACAAGGCCACGAAGAAAGTAGTTGAGAATGTTTTCCCTAATACTAGGCATCGGTGGTGCCAATGGCACATCATGAACAAATTACCTGAAAAATTGAGAGGTTATAAGCAATATGAATTCATCAAATTTTTCTTGCAAAGAGCCGTTTATGATTCATTAAGTTGTACTAAATTTGAGGAAAGTTGGAATGGAATGATTAAGAAGTATATGCTATATAACAATGATTGGTTGAGTGAACTGTACAGTGAGAGACGTCAATGGGTGCCGATCTTTGTGAAAGATTCTTTTTGGGCGGGAATGTTTACCACACAATGAAGTGAGATTATGAATTCATTCTTTGATGGGTATATCAACTCTAAGACTACCTTAAAGTAATTTGTCAAACAATATGAAAATACTTTGAAAAGTAAGATGGAGAAGGAAAACGAGGAAGAATCTAAGTCTTTCTCTTCACAAGTCCCTTGTGTAACCCATTATGACATGGAGAAACAAGTTCAAAAGGTTTACACCATCTCAAAATTTAAGGAGTTCCAAAGCAAATTGATAGGGAAGATGTACTGTGATTTGACTTCGGTCAAAGTGGATGGCAGTATTCATAGAAACATGGCTTGAGTTACCCCTTTTTTACCCAAATATAATATGCAACCATGTAGCAGAATCTAGCATTTTTAAAGTTTGTTGCAATCCAACACAAGGCTCCACAAATGTCAAACCATCCAACTGAGGAATTATTCCTTTGTTTTGTTTGGGAAAAAAAATGGGGACAACATAGTGTACAATTTTCTTTTGGAACATGGTCATGACCCTTAAGTATGGCACCACTCTGAACCAAAATTTAAAGTTCCATAATCATGGCCAATTTAGCATCAAAAAGGCAAAAGTAGTATACTTTTTTTCATTACACTTCCACTACCAAATTGAATAATTTTACAAACAAAATACATAAACTTATACTTAAGCAACAATACTATTGTCTCCCAAGTTGAATGAGTACACAAACAAAGTGTACAATTTTCACAAATCACTTCTTCTAAGGCAGGAATAAGGTAGCAACTAAATTCTGCATAACAAATCAACTTCACCGTGGTGTCCCGTTGACGAAGCATAAATGTCCCAAACAAAGTGCCTTCTATTAGACAATTCATTGAACAATTTGTGAACGCAATCAATTCTAGCCTTCCCCTCCTTACTCGAGTGGAATGGGTATGCTGTAATATTAAAGCAACGAAGAAAAAAAAAGAGATGGAGAGACATAAAAATGTATGAGCTCCGGCAACTATTACTGTGACTCCGTCTTTGGCTTCGCCTGTGGAGAAAACCTAATTTTTTGGGTTCAATTTGTTTTTAAACAGAAAGGGGGTAGGAGTCGAGGGAGATGAAGAGGGAAGGGAAGGGAAGGGAGAAGGCGACTGGGAGGGAAGAGGGAAGTGGGAAGAGTCGTTGTTGGGCAAGAGAGGCTCCCAAGTGGAGACACCACCACAATGAACAACATCAAGAGAACCTGAGGTGGAGCCGTGTTGCAATGGCCGGCTGTTGGGCCGACTGTGTTCGGTTTAGTGACAGGGAAGGGAGAAGGCGAGGGAAGAGGGAAGATGGAAGGGTTGGGTGGGAACGATAAATCTGATCTTTCATATTTCATTAAAATCTTTTTTTTTTGGAAAGAAGCTGATGACATAGTTGGTATACATTAACAACCACATGATCAAGTCTATATCTTAAATCTGTTTAGCATTACTCACTTATAAAAGATATGATCAATATTGACAAGCTTATATTCATATCAAGCCTAAGCCTAGGCTAGGTTAAATTCAAATCATTAAAAAGCAGATCAGACGTAGTTCATCGTTTCAGTCTAATTTAAAGTTCAAGAGTTCATGAAGAGTCAACATACGTGGAAGAGTAATCAGCGGAATGACTATTACTCCAAAATAGTGTCTATACCCAATTGTAGCTATCCTCATCGATAAATTAGTAGATTGACTTTCACGTCACTGCCTTAGTTAGGACTCGGTACCTATATATTGTAAACCCCTTACACATGGGGGCAAATNATACGTGGAAGAGTAATCAGCGGAATGACTATTACTCCAAAATAGTGTCTATACCCAATTGTAGCTATCCTCCTCGATAAATTAGTAGATTGACCTTCACGTCACCGCCTTAGTTAGGACTCGGTACCTATATATTGTAAACCCCTTACACATGGGGGCAAATCTCATACACCTCACCTTGAGTGTACTCTTGCTCTCTTTCTCTTTTAATATCTTGTACTCTCTTATTNATCTCATACACCTCACCTTGAGTGTACTCTTGCTCTCTTTCTCTTTTAATATCTTGTACTCTCTTATTAATAGAGTTTTTCAGCCACCATTATTGTTTTCAGTGATTAGGTCACTCAGACTCAACTACCCAATCTTTGTCTTTTATTATTGATTGTTTCGTTAATTACATTATACTACACACTCGATTGATTTAATCTTACATAAATCTACTTTTGTTCATCATCAGATATTAATGTTTTGGCATAATTTTTTCAAATATAAATCCATCGTTTAAATAATTTTTTTGAGATGCACTTTACAAGAAGAACATTTATCAAATATAAGACGTTTGGTGAACGCATATTTTCGAAGTACTTTTACATGAAGAATTGTGAACCTCCCTCTCTAACTAAGGGCTAACGGTACGGTTTCGTAGAGGTACTATGCTCAAATCNTTTTTTTTTTTTTTTGGATGACATGGCTAGTACACATCAGCAGCCACATCATCAAGTCTGTATTTTAAGTCTATATTTTAAGTCTGTCTAGCATTACTCGAGCTTTTTTATGCGTGGACTGTAAGGGTGTATACGTGTCACGTATAAACCGTGAATTGCTTGCCACGTGGAAGCATGTGGCAAAGGGGTCCATTTCACTGTACGGCTTCGAGTGCTGCTTCCTTGGGACTCTCGTATGAGTACCATTACCATTAGGTCTCCCTCGCTATTGGAGGAGCCATCACCGGTGGGCCGAAAAATAATCAATATATTAAGTAATCACTAAATTTAATAAAAATATATGTATTTATGAAAAATTCAAATTAAATATTTATTGAAATATAATATAAAAATTGAAATATTGAATAAATGGAAAATCAAATTTTACAAAATTCAATAACCACGTAATATTATTGAAAAATAAAAATTTGACCAAGAAATTTAATAACCACATAATATTATTAGGATCTAAAAATATGAGTTAATTTACTAATTTAATGATATGATCCAATAGAATTATTACGACAATACATCTTGGACTTCTTGTGAAGACTCGCCAGACATATCACGAGGTCAGTAAATGTCAAGTCTCAAAAGGCATAAAAGCAAGTAAATATTGGGTATAATCATTCAATAAAATAGAACTCATTTTCTATCGGACTAAGTGACTATGTTATTACATGAATGAGTAGTTATGAATTTGTATGGGCTCACTTAATAGACTTATTTGTTTATGGGAAATGAAGTGTTCACCAAAAAATTTTACCAAATTTTTGAATTCTAAGTGATGTGACACAATAATAGTCATTTAATAGTTGATGAGAGTTTGTGGGATAT